GCCGTCGGGAAGCAACCCTATGAAAAGGAAAGTTGAAAGACTTACAACAACTAAAAAGATCAAATTTGTAAAATGCCCCACAACACAAAGTTCAGGTCCAACTGGCTTCACTGGTGAATTTTATCAAACACTTAAAGAAAATAAATACTAATATTCCATCAACTTTTCCACTAAATGGAAGATGAAGGTCACGATGATCAGGGCTGGGCCGTGCTGAAGCCGAGAGCCAGGAGCCAGGAGCTTCATTTGGGTCTCCCACGTGGGTGTGGGGGCCCAGGGACTTGGGCCATCCTCTGCTGATTTCCCAGGCACATTAGCAGGGAGCTGGATCGGAAGTGGAGCAGCCGGGACTTGAACCAGTGTCCACATGGGATGCCGGCGCTGCAGATGATGGTTTAACCCACTGCGCCACAGCGCCAGTCCCAGGAAAAGATCCTAACTACCTCATGATTTCATCTCCTTCACAGTGTGTGCTACACACTGAGCGACCTGCAATGCCCAAGACAGAAACCGCCCTCGCCCTCACGGTGGCCCCAATCACACAACACAGTGGTTTCTCCTGGCTGCTATCAGAAATGACTGTACCTGCAACAGCTTAAAACAACACACACTGATTCTCCTGCAGAGACTCTGGGTCCCAGGTGGATCCTAGGGCAGATCCATTTCCTGCCAGCTCCTTGATGGGCCGCCCCTGCCTCCGTCTTCAAAGTGCGACACTGCAGCCTCCTCCTCTGGCCGGCTCCCCCCACCCCCCATGTCCTTCTTATTTCTAACCTTTGTGACAATGTCACACTCAGGACCATCTCCCACCTCCACCCCCACCCCAAACATCACATTTGTCAGCCCCTTTAGCCACAGGCCATGACCTTCCTTCCCTGTTCTGTGGATTAAGAACCGGACACCTCTGGGCAGGGGGGGCATGGCTCCGCCTCCATTGGAATTAGAATGCTGTGGCAGAGAGGGTCCCAAAGTGACAGTCTCTGCGGGGCTGCAATCCAGAGGATGGGGGGTTGTCGCTCCCCCTCTTCGTGGAGGAACGACACAGGACCCTGCGCTGTTCTTTCGTCTGCTCGGCCCTCCCCGGGTTTGCTGCTGGTTCTTCCCGGGTTGGCTACTATCCCTTCCACCTCCGTGGAAGGGCGGTTCCCCCTGGCCGCTTTCCCCACTTCCGCAGGGGAGCAGCACACCGCCGGCCGGTTCTCTGGGAGGCTGCACAGGTGTTCCCCTTAGATGTTCCTCTTAGATGTTCCTGGTGCATGCCGTCTCTCTCCTCCTTTATAGTCCTCCTCCGCCAATCCTAACTCGGCTGCCCACACGCCGAGTACGCTGCTCTCCTCCAATCAGGAGCAAGTCCTACAGTTTATTGGTTGAACTGGAGGCAGCTGTGCGGAAGCTGTTTACTTCTCTCCCAGCGCCATATTGTGGGAGAGCAGATGCATAGAATAAGTCTTAATTCCAGTAACTTAGTCTAGTCCGAGTTGCTCCCCACAGGGGGTGGGGACTGCGGGGCGGGGGGTGGGTGGGTGGGCAGGAGAACGTTCTAGGCAGACGGAACGGGGAGTCAAGCACTCCGCAACCCCAGGCTGGCCTTGGCAGCTGGAGGAGTGAGTTCCTTTTAGATAGGAAGAAACATTACAGGAAGGCAAATGAGTTTCCAGTCCACCTTGAGTCTTCCAGAGGAAGAAAAAAACTGCAAAGCTGCATCTTATCTACTTCAATGATTATTTCTTTTTTGGTAGGAATTTGTCCCGATCTACTGTTCCTGGCAAGGGACCTCTTTTGTCACAAGACAGAGTGGAATATTCTCCTGGGCATCCCTAGAGCAAGAGAGAGAGAGAGAGAGAGACCTCAATTGGGGGTCTCACAGTAAGTTCAGAGAGACATCGACCCCCCCCCCACCCCCCAACAAGAGCTTGTGCTAGTTGTGACTTTCAAAAATCTTGTCACCTGCCATTGTGTCCTGCCGACCTTGTCTCCAGCAACAGGATCTGGGCAGGGAGCGGGGGATTCAAGCCGGAGCAGGGCCCCTGGTTGCCTGGCCCTGGAAGGTGACACGCCCAGATCCAGGCGGGGCCGGCGGGAGCAGTCGGCAGCCTGAGTCACCCCCTCTGTCCATTCACTTTCCCTGCCTCCGAGCTGCACACCGGCCAAGAGCAACTAGCACTGTGGGTTCTCAGCTTTACAGGAAACCAAACACACACTTGAGGAGTCCTCCACAAGCAGCCTTTTGAGAGCTCACCCACTTTTTTTTTATTTTAATTTATTTGAGAGACAGAGAAGGAAACAGAGCTCTCATTCAGAGGTTCACGCCCCCAATACATACAATGGCCAGGCCTGGGCTCAAGCTCTCTCACCGGGGATGTCAGGGAATTAATGACTTGAGCCATCACTGTTGCCTTCCAGGGTGTGCAGCAGCAGGAAGCCGGAGTCAGGAGCCGGCGCTGGGAACTGAAGCCAGGCACTGCAGAGTCTTAATGGCCAGGTCAGCCGCCCATCCCTGTGGCTGCCTTTGTCCCCGCGGTGTGACTGACCGTACCTTTGTTACAGCTGTCATTGCCATTCTCCTGAAATTCCACCTTCTGCACCTATATTAAAGAATAGCTCCTGAGGCCGGCGCTGTGGTGCAGTGGGTTAAAGTCCTGGCCTGCAGCACCTGCATCCTATAAGGGCACCAGTTCGAGTCCCGGCTGTTCCACTTCCGATCCAGCTTTCTGCTATAGCCTGGGAAAGCAATAGAGGATGGCCCAAGTCCTGGGGCCCCTGTACCTATGTGGGAGACCTGGAAGCTCCTGGCTCCTGGCTTTGGATTGGCTCAGCTCCAGCTATTGCAGCCATTTGGGGAGTGAACCAGGGAATAGAAGACCTCTCTCTCTCTCTCTCTCTCTCTCTCTCTCTCTCTCTCTGTAAATCTATCTTTTAAATGAATAAAATAAATCTTTGAAAAAAAGAAAAAAGAATGGCTCCAGCCCAGTTCACTCTGCACACCCCACCCTCTGCAGACACTTCACCCCTGCTCTCTCATTCAGTGCAGACCTTCCAGACACCCACAGGCCAAGCCTGGAGTCGGGGGCCAGAGCCTGCAGCAATCCTAACAGAGACAGACTAAGAAGCACCCATTCTCAAAGACTTCCAGGGGCTGGCACTGTGGCGTAGCGGGTCAAGCTACCACCTGCAGCGTCTGTAGCCCCTGTGGGTGCTGGTTCGAATCCTGGCTGCTCCACTTCCGATCCAGCTCTCTGCTGTGGCCTGGGAAAACAACAGAAGATGGCCCAAGTCCTGTGGTCCCTGCACCCACGTGGGAGACCTGGAAGAAGCTCCTGGCTCTCAGCTTTGGCTCTGCCCAGCCCTGGCCATTGCGGCTATTTGGGGAGTGAGCCAGCGAGTGCAAGATTTCTCTCTCTCTCACTCTTTCTCTCTCTCCCTCTCCTTCTCTGTAACTCTGACTTTCAAATAAATAAATGTTAAGAAAAAAAAAAAAGGAAAACTTCTAAAAGAACAGGACGATCCTAGCCAGGAACTTATTCCCTTAAAGGAGAATTCAGAATAATCAAATATACCTGTTTCAAGACCTGCACACAGTCCAGGAACTAACCTGAGAGGCTTGCTGGGCTTATGGTGTCTCGCTCTTCTGTCTGTGGGCTCCCAACCACACCATGAGCTGTGGAGTTTTAAAGGTTAAGCCTCTGCATTCTCTCTCTCTCTCTCTCTCTCTCTCTCTCTCTCTCTCTCTCTCTTCCTTGGATGGCTGCCTGGCAGCAGAGGGCAAAGTGACCTCATTCATCGGAAGGCACAGGGGCAAGTTCCGAGACAAAAGGTGATTTGCAAAGGGAAGGCTGAGACTGCCAAGTTTAAATGGAAATGGACAGACACACTCGGAGGGTCTAATGGGCAACGGATTCAAAGGTCACAAATGCATCTCGGGGGCACACGGAACCCAGCTGGCGAAGCTCACAGACCCAGGACCAGAAATCTATTAAGGAAGCAGGAAGTCACTGCACTGGCCTGAAACCCGGGGACACACAACATTCCGGTTTCCCAGCACTGCAGGTCTTTGCGAAACCCGATAAGACTCCCCAGTGTGCACATGTCCGTCCTAAGTCCAGTGGCTTCTCACTCTCGCTGTTCCCACGAGCCACACACGGTCTCTGTGTGCATTTCCTAATGAACTTTATCACTGGAGCAGCGTGGACGGGCGCACGGCCCAACCGCCCACAACAGACGCAGCGACTGCAGGCAGAGACAGCCGCTTTCAGGAACCTGAGCCCAAGCAGACCCCCAGGGTCTGGCCACCTCCGCCCTTGATGCACAACCTGGGACGGCCCCCGGGGACAGCAGCTGCCTCACCCCTGGGTGGGGCGGGGACCAGGGAGCCCTGGAGCCTCGCACCTGCACCTGCCCAGTGAGTGACAACCTGCCGCTGGTCGTCAAATCCCATAACCGTCCTTTGAATGGCATTGAGTGAAAGTTCAGTAACCAGATCTTAGCGATTATTCGTTTATTTATTTATTTATTTTTTGACAGCCCAGCCCTGGGGATTCCCTCCACCTTTTGGGGGCCATCGAGGGGGGAGGGCGGTTCAACTACAGAAAAGCACACCTGGGGACTGTGGGACCCCCCCTCCCCGCCCCAAGAGGTCGGACTTGGAGGAACCATGCGGGCCCTTGGGAGCCGCAGGATTCACACCGGGCCCAGGTCGTGGACCCGCCAGGAGAGGGCGCGCTGTGGCCGCCCCGCCCCGTCCGCCTCAGGTGGGGCGGCCCCGCCCCCTCAGGCCAGCTCACCTCCGCCCCGCCCACCTCCGGCCGGCGCCTCCTCAGCCGCCCCGCCCGCGACACCCGCCTGGCGTGGGCCACGCCCACCCCGGCTCCTCCCGCCTCCTTCGGGCCCCCTCCGGCGGCCTCCGATTGGGCCGTCCCGTCCACCGAGCCGCCAGGCCCCGCCCAGCAGGCGGCCTCAGGTGGAGCCGCCCCGCCCAGTCGGGGGCCCGGGCCACGCCCACTCCGCCCGCCGCGCGCGTCTCAGGTGGGGCCGCCCGGTCCCGCCCCTGTCGCTCGCTCCGGCGGCGTCGGGCGGCTTTCTCCTCAGTTCTTCGCGGGCTGCGGACGCCGCGGGCTTTGCGGTGTGCGTGGCGGAGACGCAGGCGCGGGCGCGGGGGGCGCTCTCCTGCCGACGGCTGCCGACCCTCGAGGGCTCGTCGCCCCCGCCGCCCGGAGTCCGGAGACCACGAGGCGCCGCCGCGTCGTCCCGCGCTCGCCGGCCCGGCGGCTGCAGCCATGTCGCGGGGTCCTGAGGAGGTGAACCGGCTCACGGAGAGCACCTACCGGGTGAGGCTGGGGGCCGCGGCCCGAGGCGGGGTGAGGGTCGGGGGCGTCGCTGGGAGACCTCGGGACCCCGGGAGGCGCCAGGGCTGGGGGCTGGGGTCGCCCGGGCACCCCCCGCCCGCGCCGTCCCTGAGGAGTCCCCTCTCTGGGGGGGGGGGAGCTGGGGGCTTCTCTCGGGGGGGGTCCTGCCCGCTGGGGCGCCCGGGGCGAGCCGCGCTCCCCTCCCCCACCCGCCCCGCGCCGCGGTTGCGGGAGTCGGAGGCGGCGGGGACCCCGCCGGCCGGGCCGCCGGGCTTCGGCCCTCCGAGACCCAAGGGCCGGGCTCCGGTTTCCACCGGGTGAGCCGAGCGTGCGGGGAGGCGCCCCCGGCCCTGGGGAGGGGGCGAAGACTGGGGCGGCCCCGGTGGCCGGCGACTTTGTGGGGTGCGGGGAGGCGGCGAGCGCCCGAGGATTTAGTAAAGTCGCCCCGAGTTGGAGGAATGCGTTGTCGGTCGGGCTCTGAACTTGGTGCGTTAGAGAGAATTGTTTTTTTCCCAGACGCAGACATAGGCTTAGCGGCCGGTTTGGTAAATTTAAGCACTTAGAAATGAATTCCGGTTGAAATAAGAGATGTGTTTAATCATCTACTATTAATAGAATACAAAACAACTTTTGTTTTAATTCAGCCTGGGCTCCTTGAAGCCGTGAGACTTGAAAGTTCTCGAAATTCATCCGGAGCCGCAATTTAAGGCCATTTTGATAGACTTTTTTTTTTTCTAACCCTACAGCTGAGTTTGCAAAGTCTGAGTGAGTTCCTGAAATCAGAGGGCTTTATTGACTTTTACTGCATAAGAATAAAAAGACAGTATGAAAATGCTTTCATAATCTCGGTTAAAGTCCCAAAGATTTCCCTTCTTCCAATATGAATTATACTTTCGAGGTAGATGCGGTGGACACGGTTGGCCCGGTTTTGGGGCCCGGCGGCTATGGCCACAAGCTGTCCCTTATTTGTGTATTTCTTACATGGAGGGCAGCCTTTAAAAATTTGAAGGTTAAACCCTTATATTTGTATTGAGGTTGCTAATATTTAATCCTGGGGAAGTGGGGGCAGGAGGCGGGGCTGCTGCCCAAGTGGCTCCATCAAATCGTCTCACTCCCACCTGGAGTCAGACTTGGGGCGCAGTGGCCTATCAGTTTAGGAAGAGCTGGACTTGGGGAATGCAGATCTTCCCACATTTGAGACGGGGTTCAGGTCTCCTGTGGAGTAGGGGAGCACCCCTGAGCCCAGAGCGCCCCCCTCCACCGCCTCCTGGCACCCGGCGTGTTTACCTTCCTCTTGGGAGCTGAGGTCAGCTGGAGAGAGGCGGTCATACTCAGCGCTCACCTTTGCTCCTTCTCCCGACTTTTGCTTTTAATGATGATTCCTTGAAGGAGTTGTACTCCAGCCACAAATGCCAGCGCTCTGTCATGTCACGTTACCCGGAGAACGAGGGCAGGAGGCAGGCAGTGTAGACTTGATCATTTTGGTCACTCGTATTTGTTAGCATTGACGGTCTGTCTGAATCGCTTTTGCGTTTTGAAAGATTGTCCGGCACTGAAGATCCGTGCCTTAGTGCCTGGCGCTCCCAGGTGTTTGGAGGCGTGCTGAAAGCTAAGTGTTAGCTGGGTGTAGTCACCGTTCCCTGGTCGATGTTTTAGGGTCACAGTTTTGTGTGTGTGGAGGTGCTGGGAACAACCAACTGCACCAGACACGTTTCTTTAATCTGGGAAATGAAGCCAAGGCTGCCCCCCTTGCCTGAGCGGGGATGCAAGTGCGTGATGGGGTTGACAGGCTCGCAGGTGTTTGGAAGCCTGAAAAGCCTTTCACCACCATCTCATTGGGTTCTTCCCTGCCCACCCCCACCTGCGGGGATCAAAGCTGGAAGCGGTTTATGGTTAATATGGCAAAAATCCACCGGCAGTGTGGGTGCGTGGAGCTGTGTTAAAAAGGAACTTCCTTCGTGTTACCTAGCAGTCGACAGTATTTTCCTACTAGAAACACAACCTAACCAGGTGCGATTACAAAAGCCACCTGCAAGTGAGATTTTATGACTTGCCAGAATGGGTTTTAGAGGTTTTTTTTTAAATACTCAAATTTCTCCAGCTTTGGGATAAAGGACTAAATTCCTTAGAGAAAAAGGAGGGATTATAAAGGAGTGTAAAGTCTCAGTAGCCTTCACATACACATACGCGTTTGCTGAGCTTTGTCAGATGCATACTTGACAGATGATTCATGGAGAGCCATGCTCACTCCCAGGATGTGTGTTTTACTACTTGACATACAAATGGCATGGTGATAGGCCCCAATATGTCAAGTAATGTGACCGTTGATAATTAGAGTTCACGCGAAGGTCCCTCCCCTTTGCTACACTGTAGTCTATAGTATGCCCATAATTTGCCCTCAAAAGCTTGCTTGTGATTTTTTTTACATGGTTTTCTGATGAGTACATGCTTTAGTGGTAGAGGAAGAAATAAAGTTCAAAAAACCCCTTAATTAAGGGTAGCCACAGCCTTCCTCGAAGTTCGAACTGTTAAAGTCTGAGGAAGTGGAGTACGAATGGGTGTGGTGTCATCACCTGGCTGCCCCAGCAGAGCAGTGAGTGAAAGGCAAAGGGACACAGGTCTCTGAATGTCACCTTCTCAAGGAGGCCCTAACAATGCTTATCGAAAATTCCGGACCACTCCCTCTGTCTCCCCACCCCACCTTAGCTTGTTTGTCTCCACCCCCAGCACTTGCTTAGAACACACAATGTCATATATCATGTTTGTTGCCACCTACCCAGCCCCAGAGTGGACTCCAGCAGAGGGAGAGTTTTGTTCTGTTGCATTCCAAGCACCCAGACCAGTTGCTGGCATATAGTGGGCCTGTGTATTCACTGCGTGAATGCAGTTTATGGAATCAGTGTCCTGTGCTGGGCTCCGGGCTCCTTCCCTTGACTCTTTGCAGAGAGTTTCCCTTCATTCTAAGTGGACATCAGCGCTTGGCGGGGAGCTGTGTTTTATTTGCTTGCTTGTCATTCTTAATTGAGAAACAGGCCTTGGGCCTGTGAGTGCCCAGCGTCCACATGCCACTCAGCACCCCAGTCCTCCAGGCTAATTTGTTTTCGAGGGGCCAGCCCTTGAGAAACCATGCTTGTGTACCTTTTCATAACTGGGACAGTTAAGATGTCACTCAAGTGTTTGGTTTTTTGGTTTTTGTTTTTGTTTTTTTTTTTGTCATTCTGTGAATTCATCATCATTGGAATGATTTAAATGAGCCTTTTAATAAGAAAATTAAGAGCATTTGTTTTTTCGTCAGGTAGAGCAAGCAGTCTGGGCATGGGTATTGGGGGTTTGTTCCATGGTTTTATCCTTTCTCAACTCGGGTTTAATGGGAGATGTGTAGGAGAAAGTCTGGCGTGGCTGGCTCCAGGGTGGACAGTGATGACAGGTATAGCAAGTAACACTCCTAAGAGCTCTGTCTTAGGTATGTTTATCGCTGTAGCCGTATGCAGCTTGTTATCTTCATCTTTTCCTGGAATGCTGCTACTTCAGGTGTGCTCAAGATAAGATGGGGTTTGCAGAGGCCCAGGCAGCTTGCCCTTGGCTCCACGAAGGCTGAAAAGGGTGGGCGCCAGTGAGAATCCGGTAGCAGGCCTCAGCAGGAACGGTCGCCAGATACCGGATATTAAGCCCAGTACTTTACTTTTAGTCTGATAAATGAAGACACATAAAGCCAACCGATGGGCTGCTTTGCCTGTCATGAACATTTCTTTCTTGACTGGAAAGGGGTTTTGGAATCTTAACAACATTGCTGGGAAGCCTGGGAGTCTGGGACCACTTGGACAGGTGACACTGTTCACGAGTTTCAGGTGCTTTTGAGTTTATATTTGTGGCGTTATTTCAGTATTTGGCATTCATTTTTTGGCCTTACACAGACTGTCAAGGGGATCCAAGGGAATTGCAACAAATTGAATTTTTATTTTCTTTAACATCCCACACAGCTATTTATTCTGTACTTAAAAAGTAAAGGTTATAAAAACTGCACAAACATTATCTGTTGACACATGGAAATACATTTGTATTTTAAAATGCTGTGGATTGACAGTATACATAAGGAACGTTTAAGTGTATAGAGCTCACTAAATTGTCACAAAGCGAACACACCTGTGTAAATGGCACTGCAACCGAGAGGTGGACGGTAACCAGCCCCCAGGTTCCTTCATGCCGCCTTCCATCCACTACACCTGTTCCAAGGGTGGCTACTCTCCCAGCTCCTAGCTTTGTCTACTTTTTTTTTTTTAATAAATTTGAAACAGTATACATGTTCTTTTTAAAGATTTATTTATTTGAAAGGCAGAGTTGAGAAAGAGAGACAAGACAGAGATCATCTAACCTGGTTAACTCCCCAGATGGTTGCAACAGCTAGGGCTGATTGAGGCCGAAGCCAGGAGCTAGGGGCTCCATCCAGGTCTCCCACGTGAGTGGCAGGGGCCCGAGTACTTGGGCCATCTTCCGCTGCTTTCCCAGGCACACTAGCAGGGAGCTGGATCAGAAGTGGAACAGCTGGGACTCCGCTATGCTCATAGGGGATGCTCGTGTTGCAGGTGGCAGCTTAGCCCCCTGCGCTACAGTGCCAGCCCGTAGTTTATCTTTCACCCAGGGTGCTTGTCGGACGCGCCTCTGGTGATGGGGCTGTCGTAGTTCGTTCATTCTTGTTGCTTGTAGGACATGTTCCACTGTGCGACTACATCACAGTCGAGCCACTTGTTGGACATTTGAATTACTTCTCCAGAAGGCTGTGGACAGTGCCCTGTGAGCATTCTCGTATGGGTGTGAACGAGCCTGGACTCCTGTTTTTCCTGGGCATACACATAGGAGTGGATTTGCTGGGTATGGGTGTATCTGACAATCTTCCTTTAGTTAGAAACCCCCCGGCAGTTTTCCAAAGTGGTTGCACCAGCTGGCATTCCCACCAGCAGCCTACAGAGAGTTCCGGTCACTCC